AAGAGGGGGGCAGCCAGAAGCTGGAATGTGAAATCAACTCAGTAGTCTATGGGGTCCCAACCTCAACCATGTCAAGAAAATTTGGCCCCTCACCAGCTGGTGGGAAGGAGCCCTAACCTAGGGATATAGGAATGTCCTTCATAGTGAACCTCTGGTTGGCCTGCAGCCTTGACGGCTTCAAGAGGCCTTTGCTGTCACTATAACTATGGCTGCACCTAAACTATCAGCTCTGTCTAATGTATGGATGAGCTAGAGAAAAAGGGTCAGCCTCCAGGCCAAGATGTGACATTAGCCAGTTAGACTGAGGTGGTGAGGCTAGGGCCCTCTCTGTTGAAATAATAGGGGCGGCGGGCCACTTCCCGCCACCCGGCCGCCCGCACGGCTAGCTTTACCAGAAATAATTACATGGAAACTGTATTCTTTTAAACATTGCCTGGCCCATTAGTTCTAGCCTCTTATTGGCTAGCTCTTACATATCGATCTAACCCATTTCTAATATCCCTGTAATACCACGAGGTGCGCTTACCAAGAAAGATCTTAACCTACGTCTGTCTGGAATGGGAGAACCATGACGACTCCTCGACTCAGCTTCTTTCTCCCAGCATTCTGTTCTGTTTACTCCGCATACCTAATTTTATGTCCTATTAAAGGGCCAAGACCGTCTCTTTATTTAACCAATAAAATTAACACAAGCCAGAAGACTCTCCCCCATCAGCTCACGGAGATCCTTATGAGACCATAGAGTGCTTGCTCAACCCTCCCATGTGTGAGGACAAGGCTGAGAGCAACAGGTGCGAATGAAGAAATAACCTCGTGCTGGGCTGTGGTGACGCACACCTTTAATCCCAGCACTCAGGAGGCAGAGGCAGGCGGATCTCTGCGAGTTCAAGCCTGGTCTACGAGAGCTAGTTCCAGGACAGGCTCCAAAGCTACAGAGAAACTGTGTCTCGAAAAACCAAAACACAGCCTCATTAGGTCCTAGATCCTGGATGCCTTGAGTTGATATTTAGAGCTCAAACACTAATGTGTAAAACACCCAATAGATTGCATTTTTGTTACCATATCCTAGTGTAAAACACTAATCCTCTTAGTCTCGGTATCATCACACCCTTCTAAAGCTTCTTCACTGCAGAGTCTTCCTGCCATCCTCCAGGCCAACAAGCTGCTCAGATAACTAACTTCCTCCAGGCATCCTGCCACACACACCTCCAATGCCAGCCAGCACAAAGGAAGCAGAAGCAGGTGGGTCTCTGTGAGTTCAAGAGCATCCTGGATCCTAGTCTGCAGAGTAAGACACTATCTCAGAGAGAGGGAGAGACAGAGAGAGAGGCGAGAGGAGAGGGAGAAGGAGGAAGAAGAGGAAGAAAGAGGAGGAGGCGGAGAAGGGAAAGAAAGTTCCTTCTCCCTTCAGATCCTGCACCCAGACATCATATTTTACACTCATTTTATTTTCTGGCTCCCCATCTGAAGTGCCAACTCCATGAGCGTATGGCTACATCTGTCCTGGTCTATCCTCAGAACTTAAAAGAGAGCTAGGCTCCAAGCATGTACTAAGTACTAAACAGACAAAGAGCAAACATGTATGACAAGACATGACAGACCTGCAGCCTGGCCAGGAGTTGATGGTAGTGAAACAGGGTACAGAAGTCCACGTGAGTTGAGAATGCCTCCAAAGCCGCTCTCTCTGCTGGGCTAGAGTGGAACTCCTGGTAGCCAGAAGAAAACCTCATTAGGCTTCTTTCCTCTTCCTCCAGAGAAGGTTACCTTTCATGGTAACCCACATACAGAACGGGAACTCTGGACCAATTGTACAGCCGCAGTATACATCGCATAGGGAGAGCCAGAGGCTGGGCACCTGCTCCGCATTGCCATGTATACCAAGTCCTCCGCATTAATGTTAAACATTCCCAGAATGTGTGCCGTGTGGCAGGTGCTCTTTCTTGACAGAATCATCCCCCAGAGAAGAGAGAGGGTTGGTGGAGTTAGAACCCCAGTTTTTCAAAGGGGGAAACAGGCTCAGTGAAGCCATTTGCAGAGGGTCATGAAGGCCCACCTGGCTCCAGAGTGCCACATGAAGGTAGCCATTATCCAGACAAATGTCCAAACCTGCCTGAGCTTCAGTTTCCTCGTCAGCAGATGGCTATGGAGAATTTATTTATTTTTTGTGCATGTGTGTTTTGACTGTGTGTATGTACATGACATCACATGTATGTCTAGTGCCAACGGCCGTCAGAAGAGGGCACTGAATCCCCTGGAACTAGAGCAATGAGTGACTGTGAACTACCATGTGGGTGCTAGAAGCAGATCCTGGGTCTCCCGCAGAGAAACAAACGCTCTTAATTAATAAGCTTTATTCCCAGCCCAACTACGGGAAATTTTAATGAGACCATCCATATGTGCGCTATGTGCACGGGTATATAGTCTAGCATAGGACTTGGTATACATGGCAGGCGATCAATAAGTAACTTAGAGTAATGATCGTCTCCAGCAGCCGTAGATCTGACAGTGATGGCGGACTGAGAGCTCAGACTCTCAGTACATCAGGGGTGAGGTAAGGCGCTCACTCGGAGAGTCAACCAAATGTGAGTCATTGCTCTGCTTCTACCTCACCTGTAAAATGGGTTGATGGTGGTCTTTCTTATTGAGTTGTTCTGATGGTTCTATACATGACAACCATGTAGCCCTGGGCCACAGAGTAAGAACTCAAAGTGTGATAATAATTATTATTATAGATTTGAAGGTACGATTTTATTACGTAGTAGAAAGTAATGATGAGGAAGACAGTTAAATCTATTTCAAGGGAAAACCTCAGGTCTCAGAGTGCCTGTTTAAAGCCCGGAAGAAGCCCGGGTCTGGAGTTCATTAGGCAACTCATCTTGGAGTTCTTGCCCCTGCATTCTAACTCTTCCTGCAACCGCAGGCATGCTAAGGGACCAAGAACTACAACTCCCGGGAGGCGCTAGAGCAGTCCTCAATAGCAGGTATAGTGGTGCAGTCGCAAGGTCGGCTGGAAATTGTAGTCCCCAGGCTCTTAGACCACTGGTGGGCAGTACCTGTATCAGGAGGCGGAGCAGCTGCTCCTTGGAGAATGGAATGAAGCGCTCGCGGTACTGCTGGGCCCAGTCGCGGGGCTCCGTGGGGTTCCACATCTTTCGGTACTCCCCCATCTTGTTCGCCAGGGACGACAGAGCCCGGGGAGTCCCAAGAAGAGCAGGCACCAGGGACCATACTCGGACCTTGGACCCCCAGGTCACATGCAACATGGCCAGCCCCCTTTCCCAGAGCCTAAACATAAGCAAATGAGGTGTCAAAGGTCAGTTGGAGGCAGTACCTCCACGGCACCGCGCCCTTCGGGGGGACACTCTCTATTTTAGCTTTCTTGTCAAGTTCCTTCTACACTGCACATTTAGGTGGGTTACAGACTAGGGGCAGAGGTCGTAGTTTGGAACTTTTGCAGACTCAGAGGCTCTGTAGTGGTATAGGTGGTCTCTGCGGAGCTTTGACAGCGAGGTGAATCTCAGGAGTGTTGAGAAACCAGGAAAAGTTAATAGCGGGTGCTGGGCCGTCCTCCCTGGGCCATGCAATCCCCCACCCTTCCCTCACCTTAGCCGACGCGCCACTGTCATTGAGCCTTCTGCGCATGTGCACAAAGAGATCCTGGGCCGAGAGGATAGGCTTCAGCAAACAGACGCATGCGCAGAGCCTGGGTCTTTGAAACCATTTTTTTTTTTTTTAAGAGCCTTTATCTCAATTACGCATGCTTCATCGCTAATCTGTGTTTAGGTATGCGCACGCGCCAAAGAAGCGTCACCCGGCCCGCTATTTCAAAGAGAGAGGCGGGGCAGGTGCGACAAGTCCGGAGGCTGGGGCGGGTCGGGCCCTCGAGCGCGCGCCGGGCCAACGGCCACCCGCCCAACGTCGGCCGAGGCCACGCCCATCCTCTAGTCAGCTCGGATAGGTGGAAAAGAAAGGGCGGGACTTGGGTGCAGCCAATCTTCTGTAGAGAACAGAAAAGGCGGATAAAGAGGACCCAAAAGGAGTCTTTGGCCCGGGAGCGGGAGAGGAGGGCAGGCAGACGAGGATTCTAGCTCCCAGAGGTGAACGCTGGTCCTCGGCCCTCGGAGAATAGGTGCTCCTCCTCCGGCAGCGCCCCCCTGGGGTGAGAGAAGGCCTTCTTCTAAGAAGGTTGTCCCGTGAGTGGCGGTTGACAAACCAGACCTCAGTATGAGACAATGTGTCTTCCTGAGACAGAGCTAAAGCCTAAGCAAGGTTCATGTTATGGGAAATGACCCAAGTCAGGGAATATCTCAGATATGCCTGGGCCGTCCACGGCCTTCTACGCCAAGGGAGCTAGGACTCTCATCTACAACCCTCCTCACTAGTGTCCCATCCTGGGGTCCCTAACCACTCTGAGGACCCAGCAGGTCTGTCACCCTCATCGCCCTCATCACCCTCATCACCCTCATCCTGTATTCGCAATACCAGGGTCTTCAGAACCCTTATCGGCTCCTGAGACCTCCAACAGTCCTTGAGCCTACTTCCAACTTCTAGGACCTGGGTTCCCATTCCCAGAACCTATCGTCCCTTACCCCAGCACCCAGGACCACCCAGCAGGTTCTCACCCCATATTCCTGACTACTGAAAACTGAAGCAACCCCTTCACCCTATTCCCCTGTCTTCCTAAAGCTCCTAACAGCCCCTCGGTTCATCTTTTCCCGCCTTAGGAGTCCAGTTCAGGGGACCCTCAATCTCAAACTGGCTCCCACCTCTGGACACCCAGTCCTCCCTTGACACCAGACGCTGACTCCAGCCTCCACCCTACCCAAGCCTGAGCCAATGCTCCCACCTCCCAGAACCCCGACTCAGACATTCCCATTTGTGTTGTCTTGCAGCAATTGAGGGCTGGGGTGGGCTTGAAGCACACAGACAGCGGTGGCCAGAAAGCAGCACCTAACACCCCTGCCCCTACCTTCCAGGACACCCAAAGAAAAGTAGCCACCATGCATCTTCCTGAAAGCCTGCAGGACCTGGCAGACACTGAAACTGTACGCTTTCTGAAGAGACCAAAGAGCATCTCGAGGGTCTGCGGAGGGGTGAGACCCTGCGGATCAGTTCTCGGATCAGGAAGAGGGAGGGGTCAGATAGGGAAACAAGCACACAGGAGCCTAAAGCTGAAGCCACCTTTTACTGAGGATCTGGTCATGCAGCTAGCCGTTCTCAATACCAGTTAACTCACCACAGGAAAGGACCCCACAAACTTGGGCATGATTTGTAATAGCAGCACATGAGAGACTGCAGGAGGTGAATTGTCATGGGTTTGAGGCTAGTCTAGGTGACAGTGTAAGAAAAAGAAAAAAAGTGAAAAAGAACCCTTTAAAGGAGAAGAAAAATATCCCCCTCCCCCAAAAAACCCATAATTTCGATAAATGGAATCAGAGCTTTGAAGACTGCTTGCCCAGTGGGGTAGCCACAAACCACATGAGCTACTCCAATTCCAACTAATTTAATTCAAATAGCATTCTACACTCAGTAAGGCTATATTTCAGGGTCTGAGCTGCTGCAAGTACCTTGTGGCTTTCCCATTGGACATCATAGGTTCAGGACATTTTCATCATGCCAGAAAATTCCATTAACCAGCATCCATTAAAGTTAACACAGAAAGAGACAGTACCACTGCGTTCTATGAGATACCCATTCATTTTCCATTTCCCAGGTGGGGATGGGGAAAACAGGGTCTGAGGTCTATTTCAAACAGGAAAAGATCTACAGATGGGAAGAAGACAGTACGCAACAGATTCAGGCATGGGACTGACGCTTTCTGTGCACCCTTTAGTCACCACCATATCCCCAGAGAGTCAGGACACTCATGCTGTGTGGCCTTGACATGGAACCAATCACTGCCTCTCAACATCAGTACAGAAGTCATCTATCTAGGCGTATGGGCTTAGCCTGCACTGCTTCCTTTTCTTTTAAATTATTTGAATGTGCCTTCATGAGTTTATGTGCACCACATGCATGTAGGCACTGGTGAGGCTAGAGAGTGCCAGATCATCTGGAAGTGCAGTCAGAGCTGACAGTCGGGGCTTCTGGGAACCGAAACCTGGATCCTCGTAAGCACAGCATCTTAGTTACTGTTCTATTGCTGTGAAAAAGCACAATAGCCAAGGCAACTTATGCAAGAAAGCATTTAATTGAAGGCCTGCTTAGAGTTTCAGAGGGTGAGTCCATGAGCATCAGGGCAGGGAGCAAGGCAGCAAGCAGGTATGCAGGTATGCAGCATGGAGCTGGAGCAGTGGCTGAGCGCCTACTTCCTATCTGCAAGTTAGAGGCAGAAAGAGCAAACAGGAATGGCATGGGCTTTTGAAACCTCAAAGTCTACCCCTAGTGACACACCTCCTCCAACAAGGCCACACCTCCTAATCCTTACCAAATAGTTTCTCCTACTTGGGAACAAGCATTCAAATATATGAGCCTGGCCAAGGCATAGTGGTACACATCTGTTGAAGGAGCTGCGGGCTGCGTTCCTGCCGCCTGGCTCCTGGCCACCTGGCTAGCTTATGCCCCAAAATAACAACACACAAACTGTATTCATATAAACACTGCTTGGCCCATTTCTATTAATGTGTGTAGCACCATGAGGTGCGCTTACCAGGAAGATTCTAGCCTACGTTCATCCTGGGTTGGAGCTTTATAGCGTCTGCCCTGGGAAGCGGTATGGCGTCTCTGACCTCACTTCCCTTCTTCCCAGCATTCTATTCTGTCTACTCCACCCACCTAAAGGCTGGCCTATCAAATGGGCCAAGGCAGTTTCTTTATTAGCCAATGACCTTCCTCCATCACACATCTTTAATCCTAGCACTCAGGAAGCAGAGGCAGGAGGATCTCTGTGAGTTCGAGGCCAGCATAGTTTACACAGCAAACTCCAAAACAGCCAAAGCTACATAGAGAGACCCTGTCTCAAAACAAACAAAAATCAAACATATGAGTCCATGGGGGCCATTCCCATTCAAATGACCACGGGCAGTACATCCTCTTAACCACTGAGCCGTCTCATGGTCATGCCCCCACACACCCTCTTTTACGTCTGGGATGTCTTTTGTATATTTTTGTTGTTTGAGACAGGCTCTTAATTCTGTAGCCCAACCAGGCTGGCCTTGAATTCATAACAGAGCTTCTTCTGTTTGAGCCTCCCTGAGTGCCGGGATATAGGCATGAGCCACCCATGCTCACCCATGCTTCTGTTGTTTTCCCCAGACAGAACTGGCAACTGAGGCCCAACGATGAGATCTGGTTAGGGTCATGGGAGCAGGAACCATCCTTCTGACCTGGTTCTGCAGTGAGAGTCTCCCCAGGTTCCCAATCCAGAGTATCCAGACTATCTTCTCTGTCCTCTGGAACAATTCAGACAGGCCTAACTCTGAGTCTTAGCCTATATGTCCGTCAGAGGGACAAACTACCCTGTTGGTTGGGCTGCCCCAGGCATAGCCAGCAGCAGCAGCAGCAGCAGCAGCAGCAGCAGCAGCACCTTTCCTTCCCAGAAATGACCCTTTGGCTCACTAACTTACATGATCAGACTGTGGCCTGACACATCCATCTTCTCCGAACCCGTGTCCTCATCTGTAACAAAAGCGCCCAATACCCCCACTCCTGGGCAGAATTGCTGTGAAGATGAGACAAGGCAATACATATACAAGCTGACTAGCAGGAGGCTGGCAAATGCTGAGCTCTCCTTAAATAGCAAGTATTGTTACTGAACTAATTCTCATCTGTGAGGGAGGAGAGGGCTGGAGGAACCTGGGATGACAGGAACTGGTGCACGCTGTCTTTTATTGTCAGAAGAGGGGACTTACGACTACCACACACTGCTCCCTGGTGCCTTCTCTCCTCACCCCAACCTATGACAAGGACATACTTACTAATATGTATAACCCAAGGGGAAACTGAGACTCCCAGACAGAGGTTGAGTGATCGATCTGTCAAATGAAGAAGTCAAACTCAGATCCACTCACTGTCTCCAGTGCCTGGACAGGGGAAGCAGGCATGAAGGAGCAGGGATCCCAGCTGGTACAGCCAAGGGCAAGCCAGGGAGAAGGCAGCCAGCCATGCTAGACCTTGTGGTCATGGACTTTACCTGGGCTCCCATCCTCCCTCCCCAACAGTCTCCTTCCCCTGGCCTAGTACCTCAGTGGGAGTCTCTGGGCAGCTGGTATTTGTGTCCTCCGTGCTTCTTGCCAGCTGGTATCTGAACTCGTGAATCTTTGTTCCCCTCCTGGAGACAAGCGAAGGAGGGTGCTGAAAGAGATGGGTCTCAGCCTTCAAGAAAATAGGATCCCCAGCTAGTTGATGCCCCTCCCCACATTTCCAATGCCCTAGGCTCCACTGTGGACTAACAGCCCCTGGGACCCAGAAGTCAGGAGGGCTGAACTCAAGCCCCACCCTAGAGCAGCTAACTTTAAGGGTCTGCTTCCTCTTTAGTGAGTCCTGTGAACCAATATTGTCCTGAGCAGTTCCCAGACCTGAGCCCCCACTGTTCTCCACAGCATAAACACACTGGGAAGCTGAGGTCCACGGTCTGAGTGCCTTGCTCAAACTATGCAGCTTTGCAGAGTCAGAAACATGTGGCTTTCTGCTGTGTTGTAATGCGGTAGGGAATCAACAATGTGTACTTCCCTTTGTGAGGTGGTACACACTTGCAGGAAGGAGCACGGGTAAAAAGAATATGAGTTCAAAAATAATTGATGTGCCCTCCTGTTCTTTCCTGGCCTCATCTTGGCATGAGCAGTGTGCTTCCTCAAGACTGAGCCTTAGTTCCCAGACCAGTGGTCTTCACCCTTCCTAGTGCCGTGTCACGAAATCATCTCATTGCAACTTCATAACTGTAATTCTGCTGTTATGAATCGTAATGTAGGAAAGGTTGAGAACCATTGTCCCAGACCATCTTACAGCCTTCCTTCATGAACTTAACTAGAAAGCACTTGGCAAGAAGAGAGACTAGTTATTTTTATTATTAAGCGATAACTGAAGGAGAGAGAGGAAGACAGGACAAAGGCAGGTGATTAGGGAAGGCCTTTTCCCTCACCCCACACACTAAAGGATATGAAAGAGTTTCTCTTCACACATAATGGAGGTCCTACCTACACTGCTGCAAACATACACACCCCTGCAGAACTTGTCCCTGGGAATTCAAATCTTATCAAACTTTTCCTTTTTCTTCTGCACAACTTCCCATTGTTTACAGTTAGAGCCAAAATGTCTCTGAATTCCTCAGGGCTCTGTTCTCCCTCCCAGCCTGCACTGTGAATTTCTCTCTCACCCTCACCCTTTATACAGTCCATCGGCCACGTGACCCCAGAGAACTTCCCCAATCCCTGGGTCTGGCCCTAGCTATCTTAGGACCCTTCCATGCTCAAAGAAATTATTTTTTTTTTCATTTTTTATTGATATTTATTGAGCTCTACATTTTTCTCTGCTCCCTCCCTGACTCTCCCCTCCCCCCTTCAACTCTCCCCCAAGGTCCCCATGCTCCCAATTTACTCAGGAGATCTTATCTTTTTATACTTTCTACTTCCCATGTAGATTAGATCTATGTAAATCTCTCTTAGTGTCTGCATTGTTGTCTAAGTTCTCTGGGATTGTGGTTTGTAGGCTGGCTTTCTTTGCTTTATGTTTAAAAACCAGCTATCATCTGTGAGTTCGAGACCAGCCTGGTCTACAAGAGCTAGTTCCAGGACAGGCTCCAAAAGCCACAGAGAAACCCTGTCTCGAAAAACCAAAAAAAAAAAAAAAAAAAAAAACAGCTATGAGTGAGTACATGTGATAATTGTCTTTCTGTGTCTGGGTTACCTCACTCAAAATAATGTTTTCTAGCTCCATGCATTTTCCTGCAAAATTCAAGCTGTCATTATTTTTTTCTGCTGTGTAGTACTCCATTGTGTAAACGTACCACATTTTCCTCATCAATTCTTCGGTTGAGGGGCATTTAGGTTGTTTCCAGGTTCTGCCTATGACAAACAAAGCTGCTATGAACATAGTTGAGCACATGTCCTTCTCAAAGAAATTCTAATGAGGGGCTAAAGAGATGGCTCCTGGGGGCTGGAGAGATGGCTCAGAGGGTAAGAGCATTGCCTGCTCTTCCAAAGGTCCTGAGTTCAATTCCCGGCAACCACATGGTGGCTCACAACCATCTGTAATGGGGTCTGGTGCCCTCTTCTGGCCTGTAGGCATACACACAGACAGAATATTGTATACATTATATATATATTTAAAAAAAAGAGAGAGAGATGGCTCTTGTTTTCCCAGAGGACCCAAGTTCAACTCTGACCACCCAAATAGTGGCTCACAACCATCCTTAACTCTAGTTCCAGGGGATCTAATGCCCTCTTCTGACCTGAATGCACCAGAGACACAACTGGTACATGCATACATCCAGGCTAAACACTCATACACGTAAACACAACTGGTACGTGCATACATCCAGGCTAAACACTCATACACGTAAAGTAGATCTTAGAATTAAAAAATTCAAATGAGAGTTTTAACTGTCACACCTCCTTGGGTGTGATGTTGCGGTCTTTGAGCACTAGCTCTTGCCTGCATAGATATCCTGCATATCAGATATTTACATTACAATTCACAACAGTAGCAAAATTACATCTATGAAGTAGCAACTAAAATGATTTTATGGTTTGGGGTCAGCGCAGCATGAGGAGTTCATATAAAGGGTCACAGCTTTACGGAGGTTGTGAGCCACTGGATTATAGGCATGTACCACCGTGCCTTGCAAAACTCCCTTAACATCCAGATCTCAACTTACTACTTTCTAAATTCAGCCCAGAACTCCAGCTCTTGTCCACTCTGCTCTGACCTGACTCCCCAGTATGCAGACTTACACCTCAGCCAGCTAACTCTACAGCACCCGAAGGCTTTTTCCAGACTGCGAGCTGATTCTGCCCTGCCCTGCTCACAGCCTTCCAAGCAATGGTCCCACTACTCAGCACTTCCTCATCCTGGAGCATTCCATGAAGAATGTCTGCTGGACCAACTTCCCTTTCTACCCAGTAGACACACAAAGGTTCCTTCTATGCCTGACATGTGGCTTTCCACACTGCAGTATGACAGGGGCTTCAGTCTTTCACAGGTTTGTGCTAATAGGAGCCTCTGCTCTCAAGGCTGGCTCCAGCATGAGGCAGACCATGAAAGATGAAGAGCTATATGGTTGGGGTTCAAGTGGAGGCTCTGCTGCTCACTAGCTGAAAAATTCATCCAGTTCCTTGTCCTCATTGTCTCAGACTTATTATCAGAAAAGTGCCTCTGTTGTGGGTGGTTATAGCGCCACCTCAGAGAACGCAGGTGCACCGGTGTGGATGCAGTTACCAAGGAATTCTTTTTTCTTTTCTTTCTTTTTTTTTTTTTTTTTTTTTTTTTTTTTTTTTTTTTTTTTTTTTTTTTTGGTTTTTCGAGACAGGGTTTCTCTGTGGCTTTTGGAGCCTGTCCTGGAAGTAGCTCTGTAGACCAGGCTGGTCTCGAACTCACAGAGATCCGCCTGCCTCTGCCTCCCAGAGTGCTGGGATTAAAGGCGTGCGCCACCATCGCCCGGCTTGAAAGAATTCTTTTTTTTTTTTTTTAAAGATTTATTTATTTTGTTTACAGGGTTCTGTCTGCATGTGTCCCTGCAGGCCAAAAGAGGGCACCAGATTTCATTACAGGTGGTTGTGAGCCACCATGTGGTTGCTGGGAATTGAACTCAGGACCTCTGGAAGAACAGTCAGTGGTCTCAACCTCTGAGCCATCTCTCCAGCCCCTTGAAAGAATTCTTTTTTTTTTATTTTTTTTTAAATATTTATTTATTTACTTATTATGTATACAATATTCTGTCTGTCTGTATGCCTGCAGGCCAGAAGAGGGCACCAGACCTCATTCCAGATGGTTGTGAGCCACCATGTGGTTGCCGGGAATTGAACTCAGGACCTTTGGAAGAGCAGGCAATGCTCTTAACCTCTGAGCCATCTCTCCAGCCCCCCTTGAAAAGAATTCTTAAGCAAAAACTAGATGCAGTGTTCCATGCCTATAATCCCAGAACTTGGGAGGCTGAGGCAGGAAGATAACTATGAGTTCAAGGTCAGCCAGGGCTGCTTGTGAAATCCGGTCTCAAAAAAAAAAAAAAAAATCCCAAAGTAAAAAGTCAAAATGTTGACATTTTAATTCTGTAGTCAGTACTGCATGTCTGTTATGCCTTTGCACATTTTTGGTATATTTTGATTATTTCACAAGTTTATTTCAAAAAATGAATTGGGTGAGGAGGGAGCTGGAAGATGGTGTGGCAGCTAAGAGTACTTGCTACTCTTGCAGAGAATCTGAGTTTGGTTCCCAGCACCTACCTCACAACTACCTATAACACTAGCTCCAGGGGATCCAATACCTTCTCACTTCCACAGGCAAGCAGGCACACACTCGCGCATACAAGCACACACACAGAGCATAGACATGGCCAAACATGCATAGTTTAAAATCCTTTAAAAATGATTTGGGAGCTGAAAAAATGGCTCCGCTGTTGTGAGTACTAGCTGCTATTCCGGAGGTCCCAGGTTCAATTCTCAACAAACATAGGGTGGCTTACAGACCATCTGTAACTCCAGTTCTCCCATGGGCATTGCATACATGTAGTTTGCAGACATACAAACAGACAAAATACTCACACATGTTAAATTAATAAATTTAAAAGTTAAAAAGATGAACTGAGTAGTGGTGGCGCATTCCTTTAATCCCAGCACTCGGGAGGCAGAGGCAGGTGGATCTCTCTGAGTTCGAGGCCAGCCTGGTCTACAGAGGGAGTTCTAGGACAGCTAGGGATACATAGAGAAACTCTTTCTCAAAATACCAAAATAATAATAATAATAATAAATTAGCCGCGCAGTGGTGGCGCACTCCTTTAATCCCAGCACTCAGGAGGCAGAGGCAAGCGAATCTCTGTGAGTTCAGGGCCAGCCAGAGAAACCATGTCTTTAAATAAATAAATACTAATTGGGACTGAACACTGTAGGAGGAGGCCACCTGTTTGTCCCAGCCACCCAGAGCCAAAATAACCACCCAGAAACTGTATTATTTAAATCACTGTTTGGCCCTTTAGCTCTAGCTTCTTTTTTTTTTCTTTTTTTAGCTCTAGCTTGTTATTGGCTGACTCTTATTGGCTGACCCATCTCCATTAATCTGTGCCTCACCACAAGGTCCTGGCCTACCAGCAAAGTTTCAGCACGTCTGTCTCCAATGGTGGCTTCATGGCTTCTCGCTGACTCTAACTTCTCTCTCCCAGAATTCAGCTTAGTTACCCCACCTAGCTCTGTTCCCCTATAGCTCTGCTATAGGCCCAAATAAATACAGTTCCTGTATTTACCAATGGTAAACACAGCACACAGAGGGGAATCCCACATCAGAACACAGGGCTCAGTGGTAGAGTGCTTCACTAACATGGAAAGGCCCTGGTGTCAGCTCTCAACACTGGGTGGAAGGGAGAGGAGGGGGACACCTCTTAGTAGGGCTTGTACTAAGGGTGGTGTCAGGAGAGTACAGAACAGAGCAAGGATGAGGGGACAAAGATTAAGTTAGCTAAGGCAAGAGTGCGTTGGAAGCCAAGGTGATGGGCTAGAACTGGGACACTGGGGAGCCTTGAGGGACTGCAAGCTGGAAGAGCAGAGGGGAGACTGGGATGAGGGTAGGAAAAGGATGAGGCCAGAGCCTGGATGGAGGAAAGGAGATGAAGGGTAGACACAGGGCTCTGAGGCAGTATTGGGGCAGCTGCAGAATGCCCCGTACCCAGAGTGTCACCCAAAGGGAAAGGCATCTGGAAGGAGGCACTGAGTTCCACCCTGTCTGGTATGGTTCACAGGTCTTTTCCCTGGTCATCTTTTCCTCTCTACTAATTGATGGTTACCAGAACAGGGCAGAGTCTTCTGAGCTCCACTGTGTCTTCAACCGCAATTACGTGGCCTGCGCCTTCGCAGTAAGAGCTGGCTTCCTGTCCTTCCTCAGCAGCTTGGTCTTCCTTGCCCTAGACGCCCATGAGAACCGCATCATAGAAAGCGGCTCTAAGACAGCCTTCCGGCTCTTAGACTTCATTCTGGCTGGTGAGTCCCAGGGGAGCATGCAGAGCACCCTTCTGTTCAGCCCTCCCAGGCTCCCCAGTGCCTACAGGTCCCAGTCCTGGGTCCACCCTGCCAAACCTGTGCCTGATGGTCCTCCCACTGTGAGGGTCCAACTCCATGGCTCCTCCCAGAAGCATCTTCTAGTCCTTCCTTCCCATCCCCTACTGGCCTCTAGCCCAAGCTGCTTCTTCCTCTCATTTCCCTCACTGAGCACAGCCTGGAAAGCCCACCCCATGGCAGAAATTTGATTCAGAGCACTGAACCAGATGGACCCTCAGTGAAAGTTAGGATGAGACTCTACCTTGCAGGAGTTTCTGGTGTGAAATGAGTTAAGGGGTGCCTAGAGTCATGTGGACACCTGCTGAGCACTTCCCACTGTTAGGCACACCATTAAGGTATGAGCCTCCTCTTCTCCAGTTCTAAGACAGCCCTTGGGGTGAGTCCTGCTCATCTTATTTTACAAGAACAGCAGAGGCTGCGGTACTCATCTGACTGAGCCACTGCTGCCCAGTGGATGGCAAGTCCTGTGCTCTATAGCCGTGCTGTAGATCTGGAGAGCTCGGCACACAGAAATATAACTCTATAACCATGCTATAGAATCTGTAGAGCTCGCACACAGAAATACAACTCTATAACCGTGCTGTAGATATGGAGAGCTCGGCACACAGAAATATAACTCTATAACCATGCTATAGAATCTGTAGAGCTCGGCACACAGAAATATAACTCTATAACCGTGCTGTAGATCTGGAGAGCTCGGCACACAGAAATATAACTCTATAACCATGCTATAGAATCTGTAGAGCTCGGCACATAGAAAGCCCACATTTTATACCCAGGCCCTCAGATCCTCTTTACACTACCTCTCTTCCCCTCCCCAGAAGCCATTCCCAGCTCCTCAGAGCCAGAGACTGCTTCTGTCAGAGAAGCTCTTCACTGAGATGTCTCTGTCCTCTATGAAGGCCCCCAGCACATGACATGTGGCTGGCCTACAGGGAACTGGGCTTCTTTGAGACGCTGATGAAGTTGACACTAGATGTAGCTCCAGCTCTGTATTAGATGTGGGAACACCACTCCAAAGTTGACTTTTGGGGACACTTGAGGAATTTAGATTGGCACTGGTCGGGGGGTGTCACTCCCTAAGCCATCCCTAGCACATCTGGCCTGTGCCCCAGCATGCTTACCCACTTTTCTTCCCTCCCCCCTCCAGTCATCTGGGCAGGTGTCTGGTTTGGGGCCTTCTGCTTCCTAGCCAACCAGTGGCAGCATTCGAATTCCAAGCATTTCCTCACGGGGAACAGCAGCCCCAAGGCAGCCATTGCCTTTGCTTTCTTCTCCGTCCCTGTCTGGGTAAGGACAAGCCCTGGCACCCCTCCAGGATGGGTTGGGAGGGCTACAACCAGGACTCTCCCCGGGCCTCTGCTGTCATCCTTCAAGCCTACCTTCCTCAGGCATCCCCATCTTGGGTACTGTTGCACAGTGAGCAGACAGCTAAACACTGCATCCCTAGGCCAGCTCCTGGGTCTCCCTGTCTTCCTGTTCCATCCCAGCCAACTTAAATCCTACCCTTTCCTGCCCACAGATATTCCAGGCATACCTGGCCTTCCAGGACCTCCGAAATGAGGCTCCATTCCCCTACAAGCGCTCCCAGGATGAGGGTGCTGTGGTGCTGAACACCCTTTCTCCGTCATCCACCAGTAGTCCTGCCAACCCTCCCACCACAGGCCCCAACAGTGTGAGTTACAGCAGCTCAGCCCTGTCTTCCTACCTGACTACTCCAAAGGCCCCCCGCCTGGCTATGATGCCAGACAGCTGAACAGCCTTACCTACATCAGTAAAGAGCTCCTTCTCCTGAGGGGCTTCTGAATAATCCCGTCCTCTGTCTGTTCCTCTCATCCCTTGAGTTGCAGGGGGAGAAGGGGGACCCCCTGATAAAGGTTACATTTCTGTGCTACCAAGTACCAATCATGCTGCTGACCACAGGTCGGAAGTGTTGACAGGCAGGAAGCCCTGCCATGTCACCTGTACCCTGAGCCCACACTGACCTTGAAGAGGAGGCACAAGGGCCTCATACTGCAGCTAAGGTTGAGGCTGAGAGAGAAAAAGACCTTCTTCCCCTCAGAGCACCAGTGAGAAAGTGCATTGCTGACCCAGCAGCTCACACTCTACACCCCACATGACAAGATCCTCAACAGGGCGACTTGAGCCTGGAGGCAGTCAGGGCACCAAGTCCATGATGAGATTTAGATCTGTGTCTTCAAATCCATTGCATCTGGCCTGGGAAAGAGGCAAGTGTCTCTACCCTACACCTCCAGGATCAACAAGCTACAGACCTGTAGGAGGGAGCAAGTAGGTGGCACCTTGTGCCAGTGTCAGCCTTTCCCAGCCATGGGCCTGAGGACGCAGACATTTGCTCAAAGCCACATTGAGAAAAGAAAAAGGAGGCAATTTTAATATATTTCATTTAACTTAATATATCCAATGTGTTACTGTTTCAACGTACAGTCGATCTGAAAATTGAGTTTTTCTTCTTTGTAAGTCATGGTTTGACTGTGTAGCTCAGGCTGACCTGAGCCTCAATACTGGGATTCTAGGCAAGCCCACCCTTCCAGCACTGAATGCTCCCGCCGCCTTTTACATTCGCTCTCACCATGAAACTCCACCCTGTGCCTCCACTCACAACAGCTCACTTGGCATCTCCACGCCAGGTGCTGGGTGGGCAACCCCCTGGCAGAGCCACTCTTGCCCCTCATGCTGCTTTCTCTGAAACAGCTAGAGCATCTTTGTTGTTGTTGTTGTTATTTGGTTTGTTCTTCTATGTGGAATTGGTGGATAACAGACTTTTTCTTTAAAGTAGGACGCTAGAGCTGTAACTCAGTTGTTGCACTTGCTCAGCACGCACAGATCCCTGGGTTCCTTTCATCTCTAGCGTCACAAAAACCAGACGTGAGAGAGAGAGAGGTGGGAAGCGGGAGGGTCAGAAGTTCAAGGTCAACCTCGACACTGAGGGATTGAGGCCAGCCTAGGATACATCATACACACACACACACACACACACACACACACACACACACCCAAACCTGTACAAGGGCTGGGGCTGGCATGACCTGCAGAGCATTCATTTGTAAACTGAACAAAGATGCAAGTTATGAGGTGAAATTTAAACTCCAGTATGTCCTTTGAGGGACCTCCTGTGTGTCGGGCACAAAAATCACACAGCCTGGTTCCCATGGAGAGGAAGAAAACAGCAGAGTGGCAGGAAGCACTCTGACCAGGGAGACAGGCCTTAGACTTCTATGCTGTCATAAGCGGAAGGTCTTCAGCGAGTCGTGTAGTTTCTCTGACGATTGGTTCTCAACCTGTGCGCTAGGAGGCATCTCGGAGCTAAGCTGTCAGGGCCCCACCCACCCTGCGCTGGTGTTGTCCGGCTCTGGGCAACACCCCTCTCACCAGAAGGCCCCACTAAAACACCGCACAGAACACCAGGACTCGGGAGAGAGAAGTCCAGGAACAAGCCCATCCTTGTCACTCATCCTCCTGGGCCTCACTCTTCTCATTTATGAAGTGTCCCTTCCTCGAGAGACATCCATGTGGTATCAGGGTATAGCCAGCCCTCTGGAAAAGTTAGCTTCAGTCCCTGAAGCTTGTCCAAAGAACTGGAATTGGACACAACTAAGAACTGGGAAGTTCTCAAAGGATAAATAGGGAGTTTAACTGAACCAAGGGTCAAAATCCAGATGCTAACTGGGGGCAGAGCTCAATGAAGGAGCACTTGCCTGGGAGGCATACATGACCCTGATTTGAGCCCCAGCACTGCAAGAGACAGACAAAAGTGACCCTGCCACTGAGGAGAGCCCACAAACAAGGGAAACAGCCAGGTGTGGAGCCCATCTCAAAGGAGGCCAGAAAGAATTTGTTTTTAGTTGTTTTTTGTTTTGTTTGGTTGTGTGTGTGTGAGAGAGACAGAGAGAGAGAGAGAGAGAGAGAGAGAGAGAGAGAGAGGAGAGAGAGAGAGACAGGATTTCTCTGTGTTCTCTGTGTAACAGCCCTGACGGTTCTGTAACTTGCTTTATAGACCAGGTTGGCCTTGAACTCACAGACATCCACCTGTGCCTGCCTCCCAAGTCCTGGGATTAAAGGCATGCACTACCACACCCTGCTTTCATTTGCCTTTTAATTCTTAAAAACACATACAATGTTAGCCCGGTAATAAATGGTGACAGTCCATAGCCAACTTCTAGCTCTGTGAAAAATGCAGGCATCTCATCTCCTCAGCTCCAGCCGTCTGCTGCCGTCTAAAATGAGTGCCACCACTGCTGAACCCACCGACTTCTTTTAAAGAGGCTAGAAATCCAGACCGGGATGTAAAGATCTGGTTTTTAAAAGCTTTTTTTTTCTTTCATTTTTATAAAACAGTATCAAAATGTCAGGGTTGGGGGATAGCTGCAGAGATGGCCCAGCTACTCTTACAGAGGACCTGATTTCAAGTCATAGCACCCACATGGTGGCTCGCAACTGTCTTAACTTCAGTTGCAGGGGACCTGATGCCCTCTTCTGGCCTCTGCAGATACCAGGCACACAAATATTACACAGACACACATGCAGGTAACACTCATACACATAAACCATGTTTTAAATGCCAACTGAGAGAAGGATGAGGGCTGTGCCGTCATGTGTAGGCCGTGCATGCTCTTCAAGGTCCTCTGTGGGAATCAGGTCGAGAATCACCAGGCAGTTTCTCTATCAAACGAAGAATAAGATTCTCCCAGCCTCTTCCCTGCAGAACCTCGAGGTATCAAGGTGCACTAGAGAGTCCTGGGGAACCCATTTCTCATCTTCCTGTGCCTTCAAGATCTCTGACCATCTCCAGACGGTCCATGTGCAAAAGTGGAAGCCAGGGCCCAGCACAAACCAAAGTGAGCAGGGAACAGCAGAGAGAAGGACAGTTTTCCTCAGTTTATTTCAAGAGAACAAAGAATCAGCCATCAAATTCTGTACAAAAACATGGTGTTAGAGTGTGGTGACCAACAGGCCAGCTAGCCCCCTTCCCTTGCCGAAGTCCAAAGCTTCCCCTAATTTAACAAAAACAGGACCCAACCCCCTACCCCCACACACAAAAAGCTAACAAATTCTGGAAAAAATTATGAAAAATTAGGGAGACCCTCCTTAACTTTCTTTCTTCTTACTACCAATCCAGGGACTTGTGGGGAGGATCGTGGTCACAGCCAAGGTGGGCAGGCAGGCATTGGCAGACGTAGTGTTTGGCAACCATGGGCTGGGGTGGGATCTTGGAGGGAGACAAGTGGCTTAGAGAAGGAAGTAGACCTCCACTGGCCCTGGTCCAGAGAACACTCAAAACACAGTTTATAAAAAATCAGGGCCAGGGTAGAAGAGAAAAAAGTCATCAGAATCAAAAACTAAATAGTGGAAAGATTTGTTTTTTGTTTTTCTTCTCTAAAAGGCAAAAGGCTACAAACAGCTCAGGTCCTGAGCTCCCCAGGATAGGGGTCTTCCACTGACCCCAAAACCCAGCTGGAAGGGTGGGGAGCCAGGAGAGGCGAGCGCTTTAAAAAGCCAACTCTGGATGAGAAGGCCTTGATCTTGAGCAGCCTTCTCTGCCTCCTGCCCTGCCTCGGTGAAGGCTGGTGAGGCCAGGGCTATGCCGGTAAGCTCAGCTTCTTCCCCTTGAGGACTGTGGAGAAAGAGACATGGTGAGCCTTCCACCCCACAGAGGGGCAACCTCCCACCCTGAGCAAGGTCCGCTAGTGAGCTGTGCAAGGAGAGGGAACCCCCAGGACTCTGCATCCTAAACTACCAGGTTGAGTCTAGATCAATCAGGGGGTAGAACCAAGGGCTGAGCAGAGGGGGCAGAGCAGGCTTTGTCTTCAGTAGTGCTGACTATACACATGGATCAGACATCCTAGCAGGGTTGACAGGCAGGACTACCCCATCCAACCTTCCAAAAGCCTTAATTCTAGGGCCTGGCAACAACCTGATATCCAGGCTCTTGTCTCTACTGCCCCAGACTGTGTTTTTGTGATGCCTAGGCTGGCCTCAAACTCGACACACTCCTGCCTTGGCCTCCACAGCCGGGATTACAGGCCTGGTCTTACTACCTCCTTCCTTTACATGCTGCTTCCTGGTCTTGGGGTGCCCACGGCCCTTCCATCCCAGCACCCCAAGAACCCATGCACTCAGTGTTCCTCTCGTCACTAGGCAGTCTCCCTTTATGGGCCATCTTCCTCAGGAGGATCTAAGGGAGGAGAGCGCCTTGACTGCTTCTTCCTCCATGGCTGAGCCACGGACACTCAGCAAGTATGTACAATAAGAATAATGAATTTCACCCTCAGAATCCCTGCTTTGCTGATCTCCACTTGTAGACATACAGCCTGGGAGTCAGAACTCGGGCCCTGGGGAGGCGGGGTCTGGAATCTATAAATAAGGGATGGTAGGCCTGGAACCCCAGAAGCTAGGAAAGGAAACCCCATCCCCAGGTGATATTTGACTACAGAATGACCCTGGGCCCAGGGAATATAGGGCTGGGGACAGAGCAGACCTCTCAGCCAGCCCCGCATCCTGGTTACCTTTGGTGATGTAGAGGTAGAAGAAATCGCAGTAGAGGACTGTCTGGACCAGGCCAGCAACAATGGCGATGAGGTCAAAAAAGCCCTCAAAGTGGTAGCGCCAGATCCAGTTGAAGAGATAGAGCGTGCGGTAGACACCCAGTGCGAACAGGTAGTGGCTGGTGATGGTCTCCGCCTCACCCGTCTTGCTCACCATGAACAACTGCGGCAAGATGGCCACTGACTCCAGGTA